TCAAATTAAGTATTAACGTACGGAAAAAATAAAAAAAATGTTTTGATATCAAATTCTGTGCATATAATTATGAGCATTTAGTTTCACGATTTAATTAATCGAATGTAAGATTAATAGATAACATCCAAGCCAGAGTGAGAGAGCAAGAGTAAGTTAAATATAGATAGCATATACTTGGTTGCCATCAAAAGAGAAAAACTTATGTCGTTGCTTGCTTTGGCTGTGCGCTCAGATTTATAGCTATAGTCAACAGTTCCACTCCTCTCCTCGTAGGTGCACATTCGGTATACCCCTTCTACGTATCGCCAAAATGTGCGCCTATATGCTCATTTCCACGCGAATCCACTTCTCTTTTTGTAGGCGCACGCTCTTCGATACGAGTCTCGCACTCTCGAAAAATGTGCGCCTTGGTTCGACGGCTGGCCGCGACGGGTCGCCCCGATCAGTGGAAAAAAGTTGTCTCACGCCGTAGCATTGGCGTTAGCAATCTCTCTACTTATCTTTGCTAATGAAGATTTATTTCAAATTTCCAATTTTCGGCGAACATCTAAAAAATCTCCTTTTCAACGACCTTTGTCACTTGTCTTTAAACAGCTATATCTTTTGATAGGAGGCACTAAATAAAATAAAATTTATTTTTAATTAATAGTGTTTGCTCCTGGATTCGTTGAAATCTAAGCTAGAACATTTTAACTTTACAAACAGCTTTAAAAGTATCAAAATTACAGGTATTTTCCTTTTAATAATGACTAAAATTAATCTATACAAAATATCGTGTATCTTTTTACCCAAAAACTTTGTGGTAGAATCTTTTTGGATATTTTTTGTGGATGGTATTTGGGGTACAATTATTATGAAATATAATTGGTTTACCACTTTTTTTAACGATTTTTTAAGGCATTTAAAGCCACTCACAGTAGAAATACCCATATGTATAAATAGGTATTACCTACGATAACTCTAGCAACTATTATCACCGTCTTACTATTACTGCTGTCATAAATATTTATCATTACTGACATTGATTATTGTGTTGTCATCTCAGCGAAATGTTGATAAGCTGATCGTAAAAATTGTAATATTGCTTTAAACGTTTACTTTAAATAATTAATTGATCAAAAACTTATAATTACTTCGCAACTTTACAAATTGCTATTTATAATACAACTTAATATCTCAATTTCTTTAAGGTTGCTTTCAAGTTAACATGATAGGATTTTTTAAGTCGATTCAAATTTTTTTGATATAAAAAAATTTTTTTGCATTTTTTTTCTACTAATACGTTATTTAGAATAATAAAGGATTAAAAAGGTGTGTTCATTACAGAAAGTTTAATGACATAGGGATATGTGTTCAAAAATATTCTCTAAGAGCGAAAAAGAGAGAGATGTAAGCAAAAAATTTAATAAAAATTGTCGTTACTTTATAAGTTGTTAAATAAATAAATAAAGCTGACTTTTGATACAGACAAAACCCTTTTTCTTGGACTCCTGGGGGAATTCTGTAGGAGTATAACCAATTTTCTCTCTACTGGAAACCATAAGATTATATCGCAATTTTTTTGTCTCTGGGCAACAGACTGTTTGTAGTGGCAGGATTATAAATTTACTTATATCTTAGGTTTGATAACATCAATTAAAAAAATAAAAGAAACTGATTTTAATCTACTCAAGGGTAAAAAACAAATTTTGTTACATTGTTACAATTTACAAAAATTAGTAAAAAGTTTCTAGAGTGGACAGGGCTTAGCTGTACGATAGAGAAGAGGTTTTTTTGCTACTGTCTGCACGGTTTGCGAGACAGTTTAATTGTTGCACTCTAGCCCAAGAATGCTTTGTTGATACAGTATTTGCAAGCACGTACGAGCTTACGTAAAAAGAATTCATCAACATACACCATAAATACATGAATATTTAAAAGAGGTTAAAATAAATTATATTTAATGGTACAGAAAAAATACGAGTTGTTGATGCATTAAAAGCTTTATCAAAAACATGAGTTGAGTTGCTTCGAAAATATTTTTATAAAAAACGACTATCAAGAGCCATACATTTGTTCTATTTGTATACTTCTCATATTATGCAATGTAAGATTATGATACAAACATAATGTATTTAAAGTTATCCATGAGACGATCAGCTTATTTGTTAACCTGGCCTAACATTAATAACTACATTGCAATAATAATGTACAGAGTTATGCATTAAATAGAAGTTAAAGAAATACTTACTTTTTTCTTTACATTGGTGATTCTTATAATTGTCTAATAGCCTTTGTCGATCAGTTTTTCCATTAACAAGAAGAGGAATACTTTCGACAATAACTATCTGTGGTATCATGTGGTGCAGCAAGGTCTTTGAAAGAATCGATTTGATTTCTGTAGAAATAGTGCATCTCAGCATCTTTGGTACGATAAAACATAAAATAATCTGTGAATAAAAAATACATCATAAAATTATGATCCATTAACAATTATACAAAAGATAATTAAACTAACAATTCCGTTTCTTATTACAAAGCAATCGGCCGAGTTCAATACGTAGAGGTACCCTTTACTTGATAATTCAAAGTTACTGACAGTTATCGAACAACTATATTTTAAACCCACGCACATTCCAAACCTACGTAGAATATACCACATTAATGAAAACCAAAAAAATATTATACATTTTCTTTCAAGATATGATTTTTTTGTTTTATGTGGTAACAGTTTTGTCAAGCTGTTAAATAGTTTAGATGTGAAGAGTAAGATAGAGAGGTGAGCTTTAATTTCTAGATTTTGCCAGCATTATTATTATGATAAGATCTATGATAGCATGAAACCATTGAATGTGTCAGGAACATAAAGCGCAAAACGATGAGAAAAAAAATTTAGAGAAAAAAATTTTGTTGAAATTTAANGAAAATAAACTAGAATGATGAATCACGTTAAAAAAAGAAATTTGCCGACGGTTGGAATCGATCCTTAGATAGCAAAACAAGACTAGAAGTGGCATAAGCCCTTACTACCTCACCTATCAAAACTTTGAAGACCGGAGATCTTAAAGTCACATGTGTTCATCGATAACCTCCGGGGCTTGTCCTACAGTTTATAACAATTGTGATGAGGAAAAATAATTAACCTCTGGTTATATAGCCGAACTGCTATCCTTAAAAAAATAGCTGAACATTTTTTCAAAATAATACTAGATGTCAAATTAAGTATTAACGTACGGAAAAAATAAAAAAAATGTTTTGATATCAAATTCTGTGCATATAATTATGAGCATTTAGTTTCACGATTTAATTAATCGAATGTAAGATTAATAGATAACATCCAAGCCAGAGTGAGAGAGCAAGAGTAAGTTAAATATAGATAGCATATACTTGGTTGCCATCAAAAGAGAAAAACTTATGTCGTTGCTTGCTTTGGCTGTGCGCTCAGATTTATAGCTATAGTCAACAGTTCCACTCCTCTCCTCGTAGGTGCACATTCGGTATACCCCTTCTACGTATCGCCAAAATGTGCGCCTATATGCTCATTTCCACGCGAATCCACTTCTCTTTTTGTAGGCGCACGCTCTTCGATACGAGTCTCGCACTCTCGAAAAATGTGCGCCTTGGTTCGACGGCTGGCCGCGACGGGTCGCCCCGATCAGTGGAAAAAAGTTGTCTCACGCCGTAGCATTGGCGTTAGCAATCTCTCTACTTATCTTTGCTAATGAAGATTTATTTCAAATTTCCAATTTTCGGCGAACATCTAAAAAATCTCCTTTTCAACGACCTTTGTCACTTGTCTTTAAACAGCTATATCTTTTGATAGGAGGCACTAAATAAAATAAAATTTATTTTTAATTAATAGTGTTTGCTCCTGGATTCGTTGAAATCTAAGCTAGAACATTTTAACTTTACAAACAGCTTTAAAAGTATCAAAATTACAGGTATTTTCCTTTTAATAATGACTAAAATTAATCTATACAAAATATCGTGTATCTTTTTACCCAAAAACTTTGTGGTAGAATCTTTTTGGATATTTTTTGTGGATGGTATTTGGGGTACAATTATTATGAAATATAATTGGTTTACCACTTTTTTTAACGATTTTTTAAGGCATTTAAAGCCACTCACAGTAGAAATACCCATATGTATAAATAGGTATTACCTACGATAACTCTAGCAACTATTATCACCGTCTTACTATTACTGCTGTCATAAATATTTATCATTACTGACATTGATTATTGTGTTGTCATCTCAGCGAAATGTTGATAAGCTGATCGTAAAAATTGTAATATTGCTTTAAACGTTTACTTTAAATAATTAATTGATCAAAAACTTATAATTACTTCGCAACTTTACAAATTGCTATTTATAATACAACTTAATATCTCAATTTCTTTAAGGTTGCTTTCAAGTTAACATGATAGGATTTTTTAAGTCGATTCAAATTTTTTTGATATAAAAAAATTTTTTTGCATTTTTTTTCTACTAATACGTTA